GACGGTAATTGACTTCTGATCTTAATTGTTCCTCTCCTTAATTATTGGGTAGTGTATATTTAATGCATACATTAACTTTTACAAAGAACTAGAATTCCTTGTATGCACTGCCTACTGAAAAACTATATAACTTTAAAGTCTATGATAACTGATTGGAGTAAGGATTGGAGGCATGTGGCATTAAGTTACAACCTGAGGGATTAATTTGTCTCAAAAATGAATTTTATTTGGCAATGTTTTGATAAGTCTGGACTGTCAGAAATTTCAAACACAAACAAAAATGAAGAGTTTTAGCAACAATAGGATTTCATCCCTTGAAATGATTTGCAAATTGTACATATTTATGGTAAACCACGTAATATTTTGCAACTTTCAAGTCAGGATAAACATAACTCCTCAAATGAATCATTTATTTTCAAAATCCTTTCCTCTACATATTTTCTTTTAGAAAAATATACAACATATTATTATGATAGTCACCTGCCTAAGCAAAACAAAACAATAAAACACCAAAAGCTCTTACTCCTAACAATAACTAGTACCCATCAATCAACATGTTCCTATCACGCCTCCTTGTCAATGCTTGTTAACCTCTGTAACCACCAGTCTATTACTAACTTCTTTGAGATTAACTTGCCGTGATTCCACAGATGAGAGAAACCCTGCAACAGGCAGGAGTTAAACAAAGTTACTGATTCAACTCTCCATGACGTACATTGCCTAATAGTGGTCCACTCCATCTATGTATTCATATTCATTTGTCTGTTTCATTATAAATTATTTGCTTTTGAATCCTTTATATTGTGTGATTTCCTCAGTTCTGGATCCATTTAGTTTATCTTTATTTTTTTCATTTTGACTTTTATCCAATTTATAACATTTTCTGTATTTTAGTAGGTATGAATATTAGTACAGATGGAGGTCTTATTCAAAAGAAACGAACTTATTTTGATTGCATTATCTCTTATCTTTCATATTTTAGACTTGTCTAGTATTTGCTCTATTGCAAATCATTTACTAAATGGTTGAGTCCAGTAGAAAGTCAATGTTAACAATTTTAAGGAATATATATTTAGCAATGCTATCAGAAATAGCCCCTACTATACTCCTGAGTATGAGATGGACTCCCAGTGAAACTGTTGGATATATCTTGACAGTTGGGTACTGAACTTTCTGCTGTTGACTCTAGCTACAATGTAAAGACATACTTAGATTGCAGAATGATGAACTTGTAATTGTTGTTGAAAGACTATACTACTATGATAATATAGGGGAAGTCTGTGGAGTAGTGGGGTGGTGGAGTAGTGGGGTAGTGGGGAAGAGGGAAGAGAAATCTCTGAGTCTATGGAGCAGCATCATTAAAAAAAGAAGAAGAAGAAAAAGAAGAAAAAGAAGAAGAAAGAAAATATATCTTGGGGGAATTTCCTGCCAGCAGGCTCCAAGGTCACCAGGGGGTGAGGCAAGGGTGTTCGTCAGCTACAAGAACCACTAGGAACAACTGGTGAGAGATGTTCATTTAATCCAAAGCAAGCACAACGTACATAGACTAGGCAAGAAGGAGGTCCCCAACAGTTCTTCTACCAACAATGACTCTAACTGGTTAAAAGACACATCTACCCGTATAGACCCTCTAGTCTTGTTGCAGGGCATGTTCCACACGCACAGCTGAAAGCTCTGCCTCCCTCAGGTCATGGGCAGATAAGCCATGGGTCACACGCAATAGGTGGCAACCAGAAATCCAGGGGTGAACTCCCACAATATGTATAAAAAAGAAACCTATCTAGGAACATGGAATTTAAAAGTAGATCAACTAAAACTGGATCCTCTGTTTGGTTACTCCAAGAAATATGCTCACCCATTCTTCTATACATGTCAGTTTCATCTACTGCGAAAAGGTCCTCAACCAAAAGAACTGATAAGGATATGCGACAAAACCAGATTCAAATCAGCTACTGCAAACTGCTGAAGTGAGCTGCACTTATGTACACTGTTGGATTTCTCTTCCTTTAAATAATCATGGCTAATGAATGGCATTAACTATAACATTAACTGTGAAGTCCAGCTACAAGTGTGTGATCCTTAATTATTGTGATTCCCTCAATCCTGCAGAGCCCATCAGCCTGTGAATGTGTATACAAGTTCAAATCATGAAATGTCAATTTTTTTCCTGGTGTGCATTCTAACGTCCAGTTTTATATGACTGAAAGATTTCTGCTGACTTTTGTACCATTGTCATTATCCCAACCACAGAAATCTATTATTCATGGAACAAGTGGAGAGATATATCTCCACTCAAATCTAACCATTTTTCATTGTCTTTAAAAAATTCTGTATTGCCTTAAGCATAAAGGACAATGTTTTAAAGAAAGCTTGTGCAATTTCCATATCTGGAGCTCAAATAAATACTGATTTTCATTTTTTTCCAGTTATACTCTACTTCCAAGGAAATATAAATACTTATTAGTATTCTTTGGTTATATATATTCTCTTGTACCCCCAGGTCGATGTGCAAGTCATTTACATTGGTTCAAATGTGTTCCTTTTTTTAAAATCCCTGGCGATTTATCTGAATAATTACAACTCATCTTTGCTGTCACTTAAGGTGGCATATAATGTTTATTCAAGCTGGGGCTCACTTGAGAACTGAAGGAGGTAATAATCTTTATACAAGCAATACAGGGATTATCAGGAGCCTTTCTGCAAGAATCAGAACATAGGGTCACCCAAATTAGGAATTACATCCAAGAAAGTGTTTCTGATTACCAATCCCAAAATATTCACTCCACATTATTTTTACATATCATTCCACTTATTTTATAATACTGCTCACCATGTTGTGTTTCTCCCATTAGTCAGTAAGTTCATAAACGACAGGGGCTCTTGCTGCTGCATTCATCTTTATACCATAATGTTCAGGACTCTGTGTGCCCCAGTACTTCGTACACTGAGCACCACTATCTATTGGGCCAGCAAAATTTCACTGTGTTTCATTTTGTTTGAGATCACATAAAAAAATACAGTAGGCTGAGCAACAGAAATTTATCTATCACAGTTCTGAAACTGATAACGTCAGGAGCAAGCTGGTGGCAGAGTTGGTGCCTGGTAAGGGCAGTGGTCTTTTCATTGTGTCCTCAGGTGGCAAGAGAGCAAGTGAAATCCTTCAGTCTCTTAGAAGAGAATCAATCCCATGACTTCAAAGACCAAATGTTTTCTGTTCTTCTGTTTCTGAGGATTGCTTGGGGCTCCTGGCTGTTGTTCCAATGACATTAGATCCTGTGAGGAAGGATCTGGGCTTCTTCCATCCTGTGTGGGAGATCCGATAGGGAATGGTTGACCTCAGAGTTCTCAGCCTACGAGGGCACACCAATTCCCTGTGATCTCTTTGGCAGTTGGGATATAGTCCTTGGTGCCCATACTGATAACACTTGGTGAGGTACTGGGAGTCTCTGGGGTTAGAATACAAGCCTCCTGTCCTCTTGTTCCACTCTGGGGTCCCCTCCTGCTCTGTGCATGTGATCTCCTGCTAAGAGGCTGTCAGGATCTCTCCCCTTGGGACTCAGCAGAGGAGCCTTCTCTAGTCCTTACTCAGTTCCAACTTTGGCTCCCCATCCTCTCTTGCAATGACTATCAGGGTCACTCTGGAGACCCAAAAATTAGATCAGACAGACAGAGACCAACAAGGAAAGCTTGGAACACACAGGAAATCCCATATACCTTACTAGGTAGGACACAAAGATCAATTACTCCTCACTAAGGTGTTGAAGATTTCTCTGTGCTCCCCTCCTAAGACTGTTCTGCTCCTCAATCGTTAACATATGGCTTGTTAGAGTTATAAGCCTGTTTGGACTATCCTAAAATGTGCCAAGTTCAGCAAAAATCACACTTGAATACTACAAGCTGCTAAATATAAATATGAAGAAGAAAAAAAGGCACAAGACAGCTGAATAGCACCCTATAACCAGTTTAAGGTTTATAGCAGCCAGTTGTGTATAAGCTAAAACTGAGATGTCAATGAAGTATTTACAGGATGTGGTTAAGAATTGCATTCTCTAACATATTGGACACTCAACACCATGTCAATTAACCTCATGATGTTGTAAATGTCCATGTTTCTTCCTGTTGATGAAGTTATGCAGTGGCTCTTCATTGGAGGGGATGATATTCTGCCAGCTCTACTTTCAGACCAAGGGTAGTCTCCCAATGAAACTGTTGAATTTATCTGGATACAAAGATGCTGTACTCTGCATGGTCCATGGCCGCAATGATGGAGTCATGACTGGTTATGAGCTGTGCTACTAAAACAATATGGAGGAATTCAACATTGGGGGAGAGCTTCGGGAGGGCTTGGTTGAATCGTAGAGTCTATGGAATTGTGTCATTTAGTGAAATTTTTTTTAAAAAGTAAAATAAAAAGACCAAATGTTTTTAAACCATTGCTTAAAAGTTAGCATTTCAGCATAAGAACTATGGAGTGAAGGAACAAATATTTAATATCATTGAAATTTAACTGATAACTTACTCCGTTTTTAGTTTTTATTGGAAGTTTCTTGTGTGCAAACTATTATAACTTTCATAATAGTTTGCTGAGATGCTTTTTTGAAAAGCCTAGTTTTAATAATTAATGCCCCTATTAATTTATTCAGAATGCTCCATTGGTTCACAAAATCAGAATTGATTTTCAAGAACTGTATTGTCTTTTTTGTGTGGGTGTTTATGTTTCTGAGTATTCACATTATTCTTCCTTATACTGTTTTATTTTAAAACAAGATATGCTCTTTTTTTTAAGGGTCAGGTGTTCAGTCTACTAGTTAAGATGCCATATTTCATATAAGAGTGCCTGGATCCAATGGCTGATCACAGCCCACCGTGTCAGTGTCCTGCACATGAAAACACCTCCTAAAACATAGTTTGCTCATGATATTGTCAAGGAAGACCCGGACTGGGTTCCTATTCTCCAACTTAGGCGCAGTCAATTCTTGATCAATTGGAGATCCATTTTTTTTTATATGGAATGCTTCACCAATTTGCATGTAATCCTTGCACAGGGACCATGTTACTCTTCTCTGTATCATTCCAATTTTAGTATATGTGCTGCCAAAGCAAGCGCTCAATTGGAGATCTTAAGGAGTGAACCAGTAGACAGGAGTAGTCCATTTTTCTTTCTTTCTCTTAAGTCCACTTTCAAAAGATTGTCGTTCTTTCCAATTCCATTGAATGACTAATGCCTACTCTTCCTCCTAAATGCCTCTCTAATTTGCCTATCTTCATTTTACACATCATCAATAGATGATTTAACATAATAATAACTCCTGGACTATTTCAATACATCAGGGAAATAATATGCTGAATAAATTTGAGGATCATATAATGATTTGTTCTTTTCATGTATTAGCCAATGAAGATCACCATATAAAATTTTAAAATTTAGGAAAAAAATATCAAAAACAAAAATTTATATGCTGGTGATCAAATAATTCACTATTATTTTCACTGTTATTGATTGCTTCTTTTCTGTTACACAGTCTGTTAGCTGGGCTTACAGTAAATGTTTGTGGTTTAATTGGTTAAGTATAGAACCTAAAGGCTTTGGTTATTTTACGTTTCCTTTAAAGGCCATTTGTGTTATTGATCAAACCCACAACAATCCTGGAAGCAGGCTTGGTCTAACCACTGTAATAGGTGATTATTTGCAATGTATGATGAAAGTTAAAGGAAAGTTAAAGAAAGACAATTCTGTAAGTCACTCCTATAATTCTGAGGATTGACAAAGTCAACGGATGCACAATATCATTGATCTCTGTGAATTTCCTGAAATAAGGTGAAATACAGACACACCAAATTCAGATTAAACAATCCACAGTTCTACACTTGTGTCTCACTCACAGGTGGTTTTTTTTTTCAAATAGTTTGAATGCCATATTGAGTTGTCATTGATATTGAGAGATTCTGGAAGAATCTGCATGTGAGGCCAAACAGCTACCAAGGGTATACTTTTGTTAGGAAAAATAATAATAGCAGCAGCAGCAGCACGCTAATACTGAAGTCTCTTTGTCCTCACATAGCAGAAGTTGAATTTTTGCTTGCTTGAAATCGAATGCAGATGTTCCTGAATAATAGAGGACCTCCTTAGTTTTGAAGAGACCCAATCCCTGTGTGTCTGGCAACTGTGCCATCCTAAGAGCTCCAGAAGCCTCTGCTTTATCCTTTGCCTTCTGCTGCTCTCCAGAAAAAGGCATGGAGTCATGTGACCAAGATTGCTGTAGGTCAACTTTGGATGTGATTTAGGCAATCCACAAGAAAAAAAGCCGGGCCAACAATCACACTTAACTTCAAAGGAAGAGGAGAAATTGGGTCTACTTCTGCACACAAGAAGAAAAAAAAACATGAGAATTGGTAAATACTCGTAATTTACATTGTAATTTTGCTCTGAAATTCTGGATCATCCTAGAAATAGAGATTACATAAAGATGCTTCTTGTGAGGTAGACCAGTCAAGTGATATTGAAGAGTGAGAAAAAGCCAAAACAATGCCAGGACATGGCAGGAAATTAGGAGAAGGGGAAGCTAAAAGTTGTTACTAAATTTTACCAGTAGTAACTGATGGCTACTTAAGGACCTCAGCAATCATAGCAACTACAAGGAAGAAGCCGTTACTATGTCCCCAAAGATTATATATTGTTATACTGAAGCCTGATTTAAATGATCTTTTAGTCATGATTTTAACAAATTCCTCAGGCTATGAATGTCAAAATGCACCTTTCTTCTGAAATGTTTTATAGTATTCAGTGGGTTGGCTTGTTTCCTGAGAAGCTGGTCATTTTTAAGTCTCCAGTTCTAAGTGACCCAAGACACTCTAATACTCTGATTGGCACTGTCTGCCCACAAAGCTATACCAAAATGACTGCTTTCAGGGAAAAGTGTAATTTTTACTCAGTTTCATTATCACTTATGGAATCTGAAAAGTCACTTCCATATTTGCCTTCCTACAGCCTGTTTATAAACCTCCGAAATATTAGGTAATATCTAAAAAGAATGTGAACACAAAATTACACAGAAGCATCCTTGTATAAATTCAGCTGTACATAAAAGAATAGAAATTAGCTGAAGTGTAAAATGTGAGAGCTGTAGAGACCCCTAAAGTAGTGTTCTGCTTCCTTCCTACTTATATTCATTATATTCTTGTTATGGGGTGCAGCCAGTGATAGCCAGCACCCATTGACAGTGGGCAAATATAACATGGCTGTGTCCCCTACCCTCTGTCCCGAAAGTGGGTCCTACCACTTCCCCCACCACTTAGGTATTCGCTCCTGCCCACCTGTGACTCACCTATCATCTCAGAGGGGGCAGTATTGCATTGTTGTGTAACCACCCCCCTCACAAGCCCCTTTAAACGGTCTGTGAAGCAGGGGCTCTTTCTCTTTCTGGTCAGGTGCTTCCATTGCTCTGGCTCCTCAACTGTTGGCTGACCCAAGGCAGATAATCCCCTGAGCATGGTCCCTGTGTACTGCTTAGATGGGACAATGGATATAGTAATGTTATTTCTGGTTTGTGTACTACCAGGAGTCCCAGGAGAAGTGAGACCTAGCAGTAGTGTAATGTGGACAGAGAAGCCAGGGAGTGGTGAATGCCTGCAGCTTTGTAAGTGTGTCCAAACTGTTATTTGCTTCATGTCTCTTGGAGTAACTTATAATGTTGGGGAAGCTGGGACATAGGTCTTCAGTTTAGTGGATGGACTTAAGGGTAATGATCATTTGTTCCTCTTGGGGTTATGATTGGTTGGATAATGATTGGTTGGATTATGATTGGTTGGATTATGATTGGTTGGATTATGATTGGTTGGATTGCCATATGGACTTGTGATTTCCTATTTCTAGTGTGCTCTATTATCACCAAGCTTGGCTAATAAAGACTCCTTAATAAATCTTAGACATGTCTAGTGTGATCTCGCTCACACCCCATAACATTCTTACTTCTCTATGGGATTTTGCAAACCTAAAGAAAAAAAATATTTTAAGGGTTCATTTAAGTTTTTATTATTTTTTTAAAAAGCTTCAAGTATAAAATGTACAATATATCATGTATGAATAATTATTTTAAAGAAAAGCATCTAATCAGTGAATCAGGTCAAAGTCAGAGCCAGGAACTCCACCAAGGCCTCTCATCTGGATGTCAGGGACACATATACTAGACCCATCATCCGTGGATACATGTGGATAGCAAGGGTGCCCCGTAATAGCAAGATGGACAGCAAGTGGAGGATGTGTTGAATTCTTGGCACTTCAATATGGGTTGCAGGTATCCCAGGCAATGGCTTAACCTGGTATTCTACTTACTACACCCTGTCCATCTGCTTGTTATAAAGTCAATACTACAAGTTAGATGAAAACATATCTTAATTTATTTTTCTAATTTATACTGATGGCATGTGCATGTACACATATTAACAAGCAGACATGAACATCTGAAAGATCTTCCACGTCCCTGGGTTCCAACAGTGAACACTTGCTCTCAAGATACAAGCAATATCTAAAGCAGTAGTTCCCTGAGCTTCATTAGCAAGGGATTTGTCAGAAAATGTATCTCGTCTCACCCTATATGGCTGGCAAAATTTCAAATATTAGGACAATTATCTTTTTCCTGATACTATGTGACTTCTGTTAAAAGTAACAGAATGTGCATCCAACTAGCCAAAACAACCTCATCTATGTAGCAAGACGTCCTTCATGAGGCACTTAACAAGATTCCTTCAGTACCTCGATAATGTCAAAGACTTTGAACACTGCATGAATCCCTTTTTTGCCTGTACGCACCATGTGTTTATAAAGTACAATAACATCAAAGGCATAGGAGAGGAAATACTCCTATCTTGTTAGCTAGGGAACTTTGCTTACAAACTGCCTGGAAGTCTTCTCATTTGATCCCATTGGCTAACATTATTATTACATATGCCCATTTCCTTACCATAAGGAAAAAGACTTACAAGTAATTGTGTCTTCTGTGACAGGGAATAAAATGGACCTCTAGGGACAGCGATGAAGTGGAAGAATGCTTGTTTCATTCATGTTTGGTAAGGTACTTTGATGGGTGACAACCTCACTCACGGATGCACATTGAAGCCTCTCTGATTGCCATAGAAACGGCAAAGAAACTTGAAATACCACGATGATTCCTAGAGACTTGCAGCTTCCAGTGTGTCCTCGCTTCTTTGTAGACTTTATGGTTCAAGGTAAGTCACGTGGCCACAGCAGGATGCAAGACAGGTTGATATATCATATAACCTGGTTCTATGTGTGATCTCGATCTTTTATCGCCACAGAAAGAAGGAAGTAGGATATAGTGGTCCAAACAGGTTTGGACGTGGTCTGCTAATGAAAGTGCTTGGTCATGAGAGCCAAAACATCAGCAGTGGAACTATTCCCCTATACAAAGAGAATCTAACACAGAGGAAACCTGCCAAAAATGTCTGTACCTGTTTCTACGATGCGAAGACACCAATGAAGAACATGTTTTGTTTGAAACAGATGTGGACCTTGTTCGATACAGAATCTGTCAGGGTCATCAACTTGAACTTACTGGTCTCCATAACATTGTCAATTAATCTTTGATATCTGTCGGGTAAACATTTACTGTAATTGCTAGGGTGTTTATGCGGCTTCCTGTCTTCCCATAGAGAAGCCACTTTGCCCATGCCACAGCTGTGTTCCCAATCCCACTAGTCTCCGAATGCACATTCCGGGAGGCCGCGGGCGGTGGCTCAGGCACTTGGGTCCCTGACCCCATGACAGAGCCTAGATTGGGTTTCCAGATCCTGGCTTCAGCCTGAACTATCCCCGGCTGCTGCAGAATTTTGAGAATGACTCCAAAGATAAGAGATCTCTATCTTCATGCCTCTATACCTGTAGCATAAATGAATTTAAGTGGTTTTTTTGCTACAAAGCTACTAACTTTATGGTATTTGCTTTTTCTATTTCATATTTACTGATAGACGGCTTACTCAATCATGAATATAATAAGTACAATTGTCTATTTGTATATGAGAATGCTTTAAAATTCACAAAAGACAAAATTAGGAGCTAAATTTACTTTGCGTCTGTGTAATTTATAGGTA